CCAACTTGAAGAACTTTCAAGAAAAGACTCAAATCTCTGCCCACTTAAATATATTCTCATAAAAAAGGTCACTGCAATTCAAGCTTTAGTTTGGGAGATGAAACGACAATCTCCAATCTTGGCTTCAATGTTGACTTGATGATAAAAGGGCAGACTCTAAAAACAGAACAGAACAGGCCAGTCTAAAAGAGAGGGCCAGCACCCTAGCTGGAAGGTAAATTGACTAAACATACAGATGAAAGGCTCCATTGCCTGTGACAATCCAAGATGCCTGTGGCAAAGATGATGCAATTTAGCACCACTCCAGTTTAATCTTGTTTTCAATTTTCGGGCAGAATCTTTGTAATGAGACTTTGTGTGTCCCGAGCTTTGAGAGCAGAATACCGCTCCCTGCAGATGTGCTGTCAGTGAAGAGCCTCCCACGTGATTTGCACTTTTAAATATTGCTTCACTTTTTTCTGGAGGCGAAACGAGTTCTTGTCATTAAACATGAGCGCTCTCACGTTAAGTACATGGTAGCCTTTTCAATGCGTCTCTGTAAATGTGTCGTTTCAGAGTCGAACTTTTAAATAACAGTCCGTCACAATCAAGCTCTTTCAGAGTCAACTCAGAAAATACATTGAATCTTAGCTCCATTTTCAATTGATTTACTTACAAATATATGAAAATGATTGCAGTAAGCGATCGAAGTTTTGATTCTTGGACTTCACCCAAAAAGCGTTGTTTTTAATATTTTGTCTTGCCATTGCAAAACTTATAACTTATCTCAGGTTTAGGCTAAATAAATCCTTATTTAGTATCACACTTTAATGATTTCTAAAAAATAACACTAATTTACATTTGACATTTAAGATGTAAATGGTTTGAAAAACACAGTGATTTTTTGTTGTTTTATTATGTTACAAGAGTTATAAATTAAAGATCTCTAATGCTTGATTCTGAACTGAAGTTACATTTCGTGTATTTTCCAGGAACGTAGAGCCATTTTATAGCACAATCACAAAACTATGTTGCCTTCAGTTGTGATAAAAATGCTGTATATAAAAATTTGACTTTTTATAATTTTAGCGCTTTAAATTTGGGCTTCTGTCTCTTTAAGAAACTCTTGTTCTTTCTGAACCTCCGCCTTCAGGAAGTCATCACAACATGGCTCCTCTATTAACCCTTTAACAACGTTTTTACCAGTGTTGCACTGTTAAAAACGCAAAACTGACATAACGAGCTCAACAGCTGTGCAGACTAGCCAGCTAATTGGTGCTGGCTAGTCTGTAGGAGCCGAGTGGGGGAGTTACATTCCAGGTATGTTTTGATGAGGGAATAACATTATAACTTGATGTAAAGCTCAAAAAAGTACATTTTATATAAGACTTCCACACTGAAACATGTTCTCCTAATTGTGCACTGAGAAAATAACTAAGTGGCTCACCCACTATTTTCAATCCCCACCTGCACATTTTGATAATCTTTAAGTAGTTTCCCTTCTTTTTGATGGAGAGCAAAGGGATGATGTGAATCTTAACACCATGAATAATTACCCACAGCAGGCCTGAAAGTAGATCTGTTTCTCTGACATTATTTAGTTACTGTCACACAAACGCTGTCGTCTCTAATTTGGTGTGTTCTGCTGCGTTATATTTGGTTTTGAGGTCAATCTTTCTAAACATAACCAGTTCATGCCAAAGTCTGCTGAAAGCTAGGTTAACATTACATCAGCGGTTCCACTGATGTTCCATCTGACTATTGATGACATATCAGCTTCTTGAATGAACATTGCAGCGTTTTACCATTCGTGACGTCAAATTGAAAACTAAGTGGTTGCACGACACAAACCAACTTTTGAGGTACACAAATAATAGAATACAATGGAACAAAACAATGGGGAATGTAACTTGAATAAAATTCAACAAACAGGAAAACCATGAAGGTGTCTCCACTGTTCAGTCTCCATTTTCTGTCCATTTGTTATTGGTTTGTTTTGGATGATGGTTCACCCTCGGGTCAGCTCTGTCCGTTTCCAAGGAAATGCGCTGCTGCTTAACTGTATTACTCTGTCACAACTATCTGTGCACTGAAACAGGCCCAAGGGGCTAAGAGGTGATTGTTTGAGCATACGTGTGTATACTGGTGTGAGAGTGTGTGTCGGTGTGTGTGTGTGTGTGTGTGCGCAAGAAGAAAGGAAATCAGTGCAAACAGACTAGCAGATTGCCTCAGGTCAAATGTGCTGTACTGGTTAAGTGGACATCAATGATGCAATAGCCACACACCCACACAAACGCAGGCACATCGTACCTCTCAGGTTCATCTGCCGTGCCCCGGCGGTGAAACCAAGAGCTCTTTAATTATTGATGGCGCTCTTCCGTAAAGCACTGATCTTACATGAGCTGCAGGCTAACGTTATACCCAGCAGCCAAACAAAACATTTAGCCAAACTGTGATGATCTCCAACCAGCAAGGATACCTCTACCCACCAACCTCTAGGTACGTTACAGCAGAAGTGGTATTGTAGATCAACCGATGTTGGTTTGAACCCAAGTAAACTGATGGGTTTGGTTCAGAAGCTCAAAGACAGGAAGTCTTTGAGCTTCTGAAATGCATTTTTCCTCAGAGTCTTTGAGCTTCTGAAATGCATTTTTCCTCAGAGCTGCTGGGACAACAGCTCTGAAGAGCTGTTGTCCCAAAAAAATGCAGAAAAATGCATTTTTCTGAGGAAAAATGCATTTCTGCCCCGTCAAGCCCAAGTTAGCTTCTGCTGAAGAGACCTGCGACCGCTCGACGCGCTCCGTTTCTTATAGTAGAGGGAGTTATAAAACACAAAAATGAGTCATAAGATGCACATAGCTGAGATGCAGCAGATTCAGAAGACATTATCTGGCTGAAGGAGTTATTGGTTTTCTGCTCTGCTTTAAGCCTTGTAATATGTGTGGCTGCCCTTGGCAACGGCAACTCAGCTGCAACTGCGCAAAAAAAAAAAACGCATAAAAACAACAATCGGACAGTTTAGTAGTGAAAGGAGTGTACTTTTAAAAGTGGATGGATTTGATTTGTAGCAGTTGTGAAAGAAAATGGACTGAAACAGAATTGAGTTTTGTCTGAAAACAGGCATTAGGGCCATTTTCACATAAAGCTGCTGCTTTTTATGAGGCGTCTTCTGTTTCTTTCTCAAATTAAACGCAATGAAAAAAATCAATAAAAAGCTTTTCTTCACAGCAGCTTCTTGTCACACTCAAAAGAAATCCAACTTTTAAGCTAAATATGTTTTATATATTATAAAGTAAAAAGTCTTTCCTCTTTTTTTTAATCAGAAAGTGTCAAATCTTGCAATTTGTAATTCATGACTACATGTGTCCTAAGACACTAATTTGACTTGACAAGGGAAATTATGTGAGGAACTTCCTGACCTGTGAAAAGACGTACAGCAGGATGTGGCCATAATTGTGGTCTAACACACGAGGGTAGCAAGGATCTTTCACACACACATATCAGACAAGTTACTGTCCCCCGAAAACAATAAACCTGATTTCTCAGTGGATCATGGAGCACCTCGCTCAAGCTACCTTATGCTTCTGGAGACTCTGTGCAATCTGTGGGGCGCTCTATTTAGAGAGTCTGGGTTGACGATCCCGACTGACACACTGACATATATCCAGTTACAGAGGCCAGGCTCTGAGTGCCCAGCAAGAGGCCAGGTATGTAAATGGAGTTTCACACTTAAAGAGCTGACAAGCAAACGACAGATGGCAAATAACTGCTCCTACAGGGAACCAAGAAGAAATGGTGGGAAGCTTCACTGTGAGTGTCCTAGATGAGTTTAAGAGCTTACGGGGCATCTTACTTATTGTCGTGGCTGTAAAAAATGTCCTTTGTACTATTCATACAGTGGCTTACCCATTGAAACTTTTCACAATTTATGACAAGTATCATTAAAACTTAAAGATGGCAGCATCTCTTTTGGTGAAACTGATATAATTATGGAGAAAAAATGGTTTTCACATCAGTAAATGTGTACATTTTGTTAGTTAGGAATTCCAGCGCAATTGCGTCTATTAAGAAATAAGGAGAACTAGTTTGCAAGATGCACATTTATGCACAACAGAACCACTGGGGTTATAACTCCCATGTTCCCTGAGGAGCTTTTTTCTAATCTATTAACGTCTGGGAGTCATGAAGTTGTAAGATGGACTGCAGTTCAGGATGAAGAGAAGTAAAGGTCTGAATTCAGCTTCCCTCACTAAATGTCAAAATGTCCAGAGGGCATTTGACAATGCCTCCAATCTGCTCACCAGGAAGGGAGCGCATGAGTGACTGGAAGTGTAAAAGCGCTTTTATATGAGTGGCAAAGCGTCTACACTTTTATACAGGATGCCAAAGAAGTGGAAAGAAGGCACAAAAGGTTCAGATTAAGAATGTCTTCAGTGGCACTGACCACAAAAAGCATCAACAGAATAGGGTTTAAGTTTGGCTTTTCTGGGTTTGTAAAGTGTCTCCTTGAGATATTTCAGTACCGCTTGTCTCAGGTGGTGCCTTACATGACGGGACAGGAACACTGACGCCGAATTAACCTTATTAACCACCTGCAGCTCTTCTGATCGCACCGGGACTTTTGCTAGTCTTACCCTAGAACTCTTTCTTCGGAAAGGCGCGAACACCGAAAAAGGTTTCTCTCCTGAGAGAGCCCAAAATGACACACAACCCCAATTTCCTTTTCCACAAATTTGTTTGGGATTAAATTATCCTCAAACCATCTAGACGCCGCGCCAACACTTTTCAGCTCTAATTGCGAGGGAAACAATGCCAATTAGTTAAGTAAGATTCAGCTTTCCTTCATCCCTCAATAGACTGCGACATTTTTTTATACGAGGACGAACGAGAAAGGCTGGTAAACAGCAACAGAGGGCTGAATGTTAGAAATCCATTCTGGCGCCATTTCATATGTGCTGAGGTCTAATGACATAAATGGCAGCAAACAAATAGGAGGGAACAGCTGGTACTCTGGTACTTACGTCTGTGTCGGGCCCCTTATCTGCCCCCGGGCAGGAGAACGTGACCAATTCATGGCACCTCTTGTGGACCACAAAACAGCAAACTGCAGGGCAAGAAAACAGGACATAGTCAGGAAAGAGATTCAGAGCAGCAAACATTGGAGAAAGACACGACGAAAAGATGTAAAAAGCCCTAAGGTCTAGTGTTTATAAATGATACATTGAGATACACCAAAAGATTGTGCAAAACAAAGTAGGAGACCTAAAAAAGGGTCACCTTACATATTTTTGAAATGGCCAGTCATCCCTCCACGTTTGCTCATCTTGTGCAAACTTTACACACAAACTCAAATATTAAAGTCCCAGACCCACTTAAGAAACAGGTATGAACACTACAGAAAAAAAGTGTTGAACGTTGAATGTTTTTTCATGGTTTAAGGTCACTACAGCGAAGGTACGATCTCCCTTACTGACCAATCTAGAAGTAGGAACTGCTGTCTCACTAAAGAAAACCCTTGCATAACCTGCGTAGAAATTCAGCTGATTGTGGAGAAAACAAAATGCATTCATAATGGATATTCAGGACAAGACCGTGAGGTAAAAAAAAAAAAGATTTTTAAAAAATAACATAGATATGTATTTGATTTATTTGAGGTAAAGCTAAGTTATTTGACATGTGTCTCCATCTTGACTGAAACGTTCACAGGTATAAACATAAATCTGGGGATTTTTAAAATGATTAAATTGTGACACTTCTGGCTTTCTGTACATGCTGAGGTCCAAATTGTTGAAATTTTAGTCTTCTGCTTGTGTGATGTTTAAATTTGAGCTCCGTGTCATTCTGTTAGCAGTTCAGGTTCAACAGCGGTCCCTTAATTTCCTTCACCTCCACCCACAAATCCCGTGTGGAGCAGTGAGAAGACGTCTGGTAGGAATGCTAACTCGGAAAACAGCAGAGAACAATTAAAGTTTACAAGCTTCCCAAAGTCACCTGTTAGCCCTGTTCCACCGGCAAAGACGCACAACATATGTCTGACAGGAACTGCTGTGTGTGTTGGCGCCATTAGAGCCAAGGACACAATGAGAGAGGCTGGGGTGTACCTGCATCTTACGGCGCATCAAGTGTCTGATTTTCAACAAGTAGTCCTCAGATGACTGCAGGAATACAGTTTCTTTATATCAAAGTAATGCAGTGGCTGCCTGAGGGACAGACTGAAGCTGAATATTGTCCTCTCTGTGCCTGTGGCGCACCAAATATTTTATACTTTACCGGAGCGGCTTAAACTCAAAGTCATGTCTGCTGCCAAACCCCTTTATGTTTGGGGTGGTGAGTAATTTGACGGTTGTGGGGCCCAGTTTTTGCCACCAAAACCCGTCATGATTGACTCAACACATGATGGATTTGTGTGTCGTCTGCATAGCAGTGAAATGAACTGATGTATTTATAGAAGCAGGACCACGAGAATCATGCACAATGTCAATAAAACTGACCCAAAGACAAAACCTTGTGGGACTCCAATGGCAACCGGCGGTTCTTGGGAAAGAGAGTTTTCCTACTTAACAGAGAAGGATCAATTAAATAAATGTGAAGTGAGCCCTAAATCCCAACAACATCCAGCAGGCGACGTAACGAAACCAATGCGCCACATTTACTGCAACGCAGTCGAAGGCCGATCGGAATCAGCCTTTGATATTGTCGCCCTTCTCCACCGCCCAGCATTTCTAAATACACACAGACACAGTTGGCTGTCATGCATCTACTGAATGCACATCCGGGGCCTCATACTTTGAATCCTTGTGCCTACACGCTGTCAGAGCGCACAGAACGGTTCTGTATGTCTAAGTGCTAGGTCGCCGAGTACACCAAAGCTCACAGCCAATGGAAGCAGCTGAGTCAATGTGGAGGAAGGCGCCTGTCACCGAACTGCCTCACACCAAGACAAGACAGGAAGAGGAGGCCTGACTGGGCATCATAAAAAGAGAGAGAGAGAGAGAGAGAGAGAGAGAGAGAGAGAGAGAGAGAGAGAATAATAAAAACTATTTATTTTTCCCATCTCAGAGCAAATGTGTCTAATAACTGTTAGTTCTACTTAAGGACCTTGTTGAAAGAAAACCCTGTTTTGTTTTGTTTTTTATCTTTGACAAGCTAACGTTCAAGGCCAGAGCTCACCTCCTGAGCGTCGACATCTGCTGTTTTCAATGGTCTTCGTTTCTAGTCTCTACAAACGGCTTTTAGTGATTTCGTTTACGTCAGCGACGTGATGCACCGGCCTTGGTTGATCGCTTCATTTCATTCCCTCTAAAAATACCAAGATTGGTTCAGAGATAAGTTCAGAAATTTAAATCCGCTCGTCTTCAACATCGAACACCTCTGGGCTTTTACTGATTTATCTGAACTGTTCTCTCTCCAAGATGGAGAGGTAATGCAACTTGCAAGATTTATAAAAGGAAGAGATGGGTCTATAAATTACATAAAAAAACATTGTTGATGTTTTCTTCTGCACACAAGGGTCAATAAATTGCAAATAAGCTCAAATATACACAAACACTGATGCTAAAGACTCCACAATATTGTTTAAATTGACAAGACTATCAGTAGTCAGAAACAGGCCTGTGACGATAAATTGTCCCAGAAGTCGTTGCGATAAATGACAACGTTGTTGTATTGAGACCTTCTTCAAGTAATATAATTGTAATGGCATAATAACACAAGAACACATTAACAAAGGTGAATAAACTTTAAATTCTAATGAACATTTAAACACTGGAACTGGAAGACGTTTTAAATATCCAAAATAAATAAACAAAATAACAAAAACAACAAATAAGGTTGCTTTCTAGAGGCAACTTCTAAACAACTCTAATGTCTAAGATCTAAATTTAATCTCTAATTATTCAGAAATGTCACTTCTTCGCCAAGGTTTGTGTCTTCAGACAAAATGAAAATTGATATACGTTTCTTCACCCAGAAAGTCTCATACAGGCAACAACTTTAAAAGAAAAAAAACACTGAAACACAACCGTCACTGGTTTCATTAGAGACAGTTATATACATCATCATGCACTGAGTAAGGAGCAAGCTGCATAGAAAGACCTGCAATCAAAACAACTTCAAACTCAAATGAATTTTGCTGCTGCTCCCCAAATGGGCAAGCAAAATGGCCGAAACGTTTACGCTCAAATGAGACGAACTGTTTCATCCCTGCTGTGGTGCTGGTGTCACAGTCACCAGTCCATCACAGGGTGCTACATAAATAAATATTGTAGAAAAAGAAAGAGAAAGCATGCTGTAATTTGGTGTCAAAGTCAACTGAGTTAAATCTGTCTGCTGTCGGTCCTGCAATAAATCTGCATCCACTATTATTAAAAATATGCCAGATAAATCTGATGTCGCTGGTAGATTATTAATCATAACTCATGAAATTACCATTCCTCTTCAGTGTGATAATCTCCGCTGCGTTCGGACCACATATTGCATTTTTCTCATAAATAATTCACAATAACATGCTTTGTTTGGCACTTAACAGCAACATCCCCATATCACATAGCGGCTCTGATCTATATATTTTTTTTAATATATGTTATCTGCTGGATGGTTAAAAAACCAAACGAAACGCATTCCAAACGTTTTACATCGTCACGCCTTATCTCACAGTGCGCTGTTATTTTAGATGTTTGAAATGTGGGCGGCAAAGATCCTGTCAATATTTACCGTGTTCTTTGAAATTCAGTAGCCACTAATTCCCTTGGAAAGAAGCTTTACACTCCACACTTCACACTAACAGGCATGTCTGGTCAAATATGAACTCATGGATTTGACCAGGCAGGGATGGGAAATAAAAATAACGTCCTTTTCAACAATACTTTATTCACTTTAAAGCAAAAATAAGGCTAAAATGAGCCACTTTGATTTTCCTTTGCCATGTGAAAAATTCCAGGAAAAATGTTTCGCCTTTCTTTATCTGTATCGTCGTAAAGCACACCATAAATTGTCTCATATGAGGAACGCCACAAAAGCGGAAGGTCAAAGGTTACTTCTGCAGCAGAGGATGACTTCATTGCTTTAACCACTTCAGCTCCAATGGAACTATGGCTCATAATGTAAGTGGCATCAATGTGTCTGTCTAGCTTTTCACAAGAAATGTCTCTGGTCTAATTATTGTTAAAAGGGGAGGGGAGACTAAAACAAAGAAGAACTGAAATGAAAAGCTACAAGAATGCTGCCACAAATGGACCCAGACCAGTGGAAGCCCATATTAAGACTTAATGAGTCCTTTATTGGAGGCAGAGACGGCGAGCAGATGGTATCTTCACGTGTGATTCTCACATTGGAGCACAAAGATAAAAGTGTGAGAGTGATGAGGGGAAAAGCAGAACATTCTGCTTTTCCAACAAACATTTTTAAATCATTTAAGGTTTTATAGTTTTCAATAAGGCAAAAATAGATTTTTTTTTAAGTAGTTAGAGCGATGGGTTAAGAATATCTGGAGGTGTTGCTGCTGCCTCATATGAGCTGTCAGCCACAATAAACTGCACTATTATCACAATAAAACATTAAAACTAAACGTTAAGCAAATATGGGAACTCCCTCAAGACTTACACAGGTGACAGCATTAACTGAGCGCGTTTTAATGAGCCATTCAGTGAACAATACAACCATATAACTACTGAAATAATCCACTAATTACTGACTGCTCACAGTAACTATAGCAGAGTCTAGATTTACGGCCCGAACCGAAATTAGTCGCTTTAATCTACATATAGTTTAAGGGGTTGACAACATATTACGTTGAGAAAAGGAAGAAAGGAAGAAAGGAAGAAGGAAGGAAAGACACTAAGGGGCAGACGATATTTAGACTGTAACAATGGCAGGACACTGGATAATAAATATGTCCTGCTCCGCTCCTATCAATCACACATCCCAGATGATTTGCCCTTGACTCACCCTGAGGTTAAAGCAAGATGGAGCTGGAACACGTTAAACACAAGCTAACACAAATTACGGTCCAATCAGTGAAAGCTTAATTAAAATAATACGTCTGGTTTACATCAGGTTCGGGCTTAGAGTTAATGCTAATTCGTCGGGCACAATGCGTACCGGCTC